GAGAACACCATTTATACACACACACAGGAGGAGGGGATGACGAGACACACCTGGGAGCAATGAAACCAAGGGAAACACCTGGGACAAATACTAATCAGTAATCAGGACAGGAACAGGAAACTAACCAAATAAGGGCATGGGAAGGCACATGGGGAGCACAAAAAACATCTGGGGAGCAGGACACACACAAAACATGGAACAGAGTCTGACAAGTGCTGCCTTTGTACTTTTGACTGAATTGCCTAACAATTTTTATGATGGCTTTTGTTGTTTATTAAATATTATTATTTAATAAATAATATTTTATATAAATAATAGCAGTATTTAATAATAGTATTTAGTATTGGGAAACAGTGTGTGTGTGTTCTTGATGGTGATTAGTTACATTGTAAAACTAATGTTTTATTGTGAATATGAGATTGAGCTGAAGAATGAATACTGTGTCAGATGCAGGTAATCACATTCGCTCAGTCCATCTCTCTCTCTCACATAATACTCTACTCTACATAATACAGTGAGCTTTTAATACAGTAAGACAATAAGTTTTAAATGAAGCAACTCAACGTTCCTTTGTTACTAGTTCATTTGGGCTCAGCTGTTAAACTGTCACTGAGATTTGAATCTGTGCTGGAAGGAAGTAGTTCTACACAAAAGCGGGTTTTTAAAGACACTCTGTTGTTGTTTCTTATGTATTTACATACGTGTGCTGTCGAGCTGTTGTATAAACGCAATATCACACTCGTAGACGTGTAATATGGCTATATGGCCGATATACAGCCATATCACACTGCTGCTTGTGTGATATTGCTTATATATATACAGTGCATTAGTGTGAGGGTAAGTGCATACGTGAAGCTTCCCTAAGTTTCCCTTAAATTAACACGTAGAAAAATATAAAGGCCATCTGAACTGTTTTTAGAGCTTTACAAGCCCAGTGACATTTGCAGACTTGTATTGCTGTTAGCCTAGAGTGCACATAAAATCCACATTTGCTTTTTGTCATCATTAGTGTATCCATCGTTGAGTGGTTACCATCCTGCATGCTCACAAGCACTTTAAAACATACTCTTTTCTGGTTGTCATTTTACTGTACAGTCCCCATTTGTCTGTACCTGCTGTTGGGCAGGACTGCATTTAGGAGGCTTAGCATCCTGACAGTGCCTCAGCATGATGCGCTGCTGGATAGTTTGTGATTGTGAAAATCACAGCTCTCCCAGTATGAGACCGTAGAGGTGGCTGCTTCGTTATTCTGTGGGAAAAACTGAAGGTACCTGACACCATGCAAAAGGTGCCAAGCTCAGTCACCATTAAGGCCTGTTCCTGCTAGCTTGACATTAGCTGTGAGGTGTATGAAAGTTTGCATTCTAACTACAGTATGTTTTCTATTTGTGTGTGGTTTGTCACAGGAGGAAGGTGGAAATAATGCACACAAACAGTCTCTTCACACTTCTTGGAGAACGACTCATGCTGCACTCCAACACACTGTCGATAACTACGTACAATACACTATATGAGGTAATCTAAAATGGTTATCTCTGTACTGAATGCTAATTGGTCAGTACAGCCTTACAGTTAAGCTAAAATATACAGCTTGATATAAAAATATACAAAACTAAAATATAAAACTACTAAATATATAGCTATGAAGTAAAACTCTGTATGGTGCTTAATTTATTATATATATATACTGTGTGTGTGTGTGTGTTGTGAAGGGTGTCAATGATTGTCTTCTGGACAACTGTCAGATCAGCAGTCTTCCCCATGATTGTGTAGCCTAGTGAATCAAACTGAGAGACCATTTTGAAGGCTCAGGAAACCTTTGCAGGTGTTTTGAGTTGATTAGCTGATTGGCATGTCACCATATTCTAATTGGTTGAGATTGTGAATTGGTGGGTTTTTGTTAAATGTGAGGCAAAATCATCACAATTAAAAGAACCAAAGACTTAAACTACTTCAGTCTGTGTGCATTGAATTTATTTAATACACGAGTTTCACAATTTGAGTTGAATTACTGAAATAAATGAACTTTTCCACAACATTCTATTGAGATGCGCCTGTATATATTTTAAGTGATATTTAAACATTTTTTTTTTTTAAATAAGTCTGTTACGCTTAACAAGGCTGCCTTTATTTAATCAAAAATACAGTAAAAAGAGTAATATTGTGAGATATTATTACAATTTAAAATAACTGTTTGCTATGTTAATATTTTTTTAAATGTAATTTATTCCTGTGAGGGCAAAGCTGAAAATTCAGCAGCCATTATTCCAGTCTTCAATGTCAAATGATCCTTCAGAAATCATTCTAATATACTGATTTGGTGCTTAAAACATTTCTTATTATTATCAATATTTAAAACAGTTGTGCTGCTTACTATTTTTGTGAAAACCATATCTATTTTTCAGGATTCTTTGATGAATATGAAGTTCAAATGTAAATGTTTTTAACATTGTAAGTGTCTTCACATGATTGTTTCTTTAATTTTTTAGCATGTTAAAAAATAGTGCTGTTTCTAGCTAGTAGTTAACTGCAAGAGTCAATTGAGATTAACAGATTTTTGCAGATTTTAAGCCATCTTCATAAGTGATGCTTAATCTATTCCTGCAAAGTTTCATATTAATTTCATGCTGATTTATGCCGTATTTACCCGTTTCCATGCATTCATGAGTCTCATCTGATCCGTTTCCTGTCTAGATTTTGACAGAGCAGGTTTGCACACAGGTCGTCCACAAGCCACATGCTGAGCCCGACTCTACTGTGAAGATCCAGAACCCAAGTAATTATTTCTGTCAGCTCATTTATTCTTTTTGTGGCCTGGTGCTAGTACACTTACTGTCATCTGTGGAAGTTAAAAGTTTACTAGCGAATGATTAAACGTTTGCTTCTGCACATAGACTTTAGCCAGGGATGCCCGTTTCATATGCGTCAGTTAGTGAGACTGCATGCTCATTGGTTCACAGCTGTGCCAATCAGACAGAACTAATGCATGTTCTTCTTTTGGTTGTTCTCAGTGATTCTTAAGGTGGTGGCCACACTGCTGAAGAACTCCACGCCCAGCACGGACCTGATGGAGGTGCGGCGTCTCTTCCTGTCTGACATGATCAAGCTCTTCAGTAACAGCCGTGAGAACAGACGGTGAGGGTCTCTTCTTTTCTCGACCCATCCCCCATGACAGCAATTAACCGCCTGGTGAATGGATAAGAAAAGAGAGCGGAAAAAAGAGTGACGTTTTCCCTTGTTGTTGTGTTTAATGGGCACCCCCGTGACGCTTAATAATCCTCGAATTCTCACCGTGTTTCACTCGCAGCAGATGTTTCAGTGACACATTCGAGTCCACACCAATTTCGCTGCTGTCCTATGACTGTTGGTTTTCCTTTTCTTCTGCTGCGTGCTCCTCTGTGCCGTCACAAGTCTGGCAGTCAATCAGTCGCCCAGTGTGTGCTGAAATCTCAATTGGCTGTTATTACTACGTTTCATCATCTCCATCATTAAGGTCTACAGTGAGCCACTCAGAACTGAAAGGAAGAAGCTTTTTAGACTAGATGAAATCATTATGTTTCCAAAGTGCTTTCCTAAAACATCTGTAAACAGTGTCTGGTAACTAGACCAGACATTTATCTTAGCTAGTAATGGAATAGTTCATCTGAAATAAAAACAGTGCCATTATTTACACGTCCTCATTTTGTTCCAAGAGACTTTCGTTCTTCTGTGAAATGCTAAAGAAATTTTTATGAAGACTGTGCTGCACACTGTTCTCCATGCAATTACAGCGAATAGGGAACAAGGCTTTCAAGCTTCAAAAAGGATGCAGAAGCACCATAAAAGTGTTTCACACGACTCTTCTGAAGCCATTCAATTGATTTGTGTGAGTCAGTTGTTTTCCACTTACAATCTTCCCTTTCAGTTAATTAATTCTGTGAAAGATCATTGAGTCAGTGAGTCAAGAATCAGTCCAGTTCTTGAACGAATCTTTCAGAGCTGCAATTACCAAAAGCATTTTAAGCCAAACTAGATCGTAGAAACCATCGGTGTCAGTAGTTACTATCATCTGCTTATGATGCTTTTAGGAAATGCAGCTCAGATCAGTTTTGTGAGCTAGTTCAGCTGATTCATTGAAAATATTTGTTTTAATAAGAGTTTGTTCACAAGCTGGGCATTGGTACTTTGCTCAAGAACTGATGAAGGAAAACTAGTGCAGATGTCAAGATTTACTGTAGATAACTAATTCAATTTTGGTTTATTCCTCACACAAACCGATAAGAGTGTCTTTGAAAGACTGAATATAATGCAGAATTAAAATGGACCTTTTTGTAAAGTCCCTTGAAAGCCTTGAAGTCCCTATTAATTTTCAGTGTAAAGCAACTGTTTCAATTCTTCAAAAACGTTCCTTTTGTGTTCCACTGAAGGAAAGTTGGGTTAGTAAATTATGACGATTTTCATTTCAGGGTGAACTAATCCTGTAACGATGGTTTACATGTTGTAGCTTTAGCACTTACTAGCTGGTAGGGATTGGTTCGAAATTAAATCATCCTTACTGCAATCTTACAACCCGGAGTGTTTCAGCAAAAGGAGCAAGCTTAATTCATTCTGCCTCAGTCAAAGATCCATTTATTATATCACAATGCACTGAGAAAAAATGACGGTGAATAACACCAAGTGCTTCAGGTGTTATTCAAATAGCTGCCAGTCATTCTTAGCGTTACCTCACAGATCTGAAGTTTAATGGAGGTTGGGGCTGAAATTGCTTTGTGTTACTTGTCGGTTTGTGAATTAGGTTCCAGCTTTGAGTGTCGTTTGAGGATGTTAGAAAATATGTTTGCGGAGGAGAGGAAGGTTTTAACACGAGTGACTGCTGCGAGCTTAATCCATCTCATTTTCTGTGTGACAGGTGTCTGCTGCAGTGTTCCGTTTGGCAGGATTGGATGTTCTCTCTCGGCTACATTAACCCTAAGAACTCAGAGGAGCAGAAGATCACTGAGATGGTTTACAACATCTTCCGGATTCTTCTCTACCACGCCATCAAGCACGAGTGGGGCGGCTGGCGTGTGTGGGTGGACACACTCTCCATAGCCCACTCCAAAGTAAATAGATAGTTTTCACCAGCCGAACAACAGTGTAGTGGTAGAACTTGTGAGCTTTTTCATTGGCCAATACTGATGTGGATATCTAGAGATAGATAGATATATAGATAGATAGATATATAGATAGATAGATAGATAGATAGATAGATAGATAGATAGATTGATTGATTATGCATTAAAAGGGTCCAAATTCACTTACTTGCATTTTTATTGCAAATTATATTATCAGCATAACAGATAGATAGATAGATAGATAGATAGATTATGCATTAAAAGGGGCCACATTTACTTACTTGCATTTTTATTACAAATTATATTATCAGCATAACAATTAGATAGATAGATAGATAGATAGATAGATAGATACATAGATAGATAGATAGATCATGCATTAAAAGGGGGCACATTTTTATTGAAAATTATATTATCAGCATAACAATTTTAACAGCATAACAGTGAAAGTTGAATTTAAAAATGTACATCATTTTTTTTGTTTTTTTTGCGTCATAATAGCCAGAGTGGTATAACTTTTTCCTTTTTTTAATTCTCAAAATTTCAGAAAGTTTGTATTTAAGAAGTCTAAACTTGTCACAACTCTGTTTGGCAGGTGACATATGAAGCTCACAAGGAATATTTAGCTAAAATGTATGAGGAATACCAGCGACAGGAAGAGGAGAACATTAAGAAAGGGAAGAAGGGGCTTGTCAGCACCATTTCGGGGCTTTCTGCCCAGGCTTCAGCCATCAAAGGCACTCTGGAGCTGGACCCGGATTCCCAAACTCAAACTCCTGAGAGTGAAGCGGATGAACCAGAGACGACAGATTCTGGGCGGAACCTCTTGTCTGAAACTAAATGTTTGGATGAGGAGAACCCAGCAACAGGTGTCCATGTGGAAGCTCATGACCTGCTTGTAGATATCAAAGCTGAGAAGGTTGAGGCCACAGAGGTGAAGATGGATGACATGGATCTCCTGCCTGTAACAGAAAATGGAGGCTTGGTGGAAGTGGACTCTCTTCTGGATAACGTCTACTCGGCTGCAGTGGAGAAGCTAAACAGCAGTGTAAACAGCGTGCTGGTACCCAAAGCCACCATAGAAGACAAGAGCTCAGGTCCTCTCATCACCCTGGCTGACGAAAAAGATGCCATTCCCAGCAACAACACTTTCCTCTTTGGCACGATGGCGACCAGCTCGGGAGAAAACCTCCTTCCTGAAATGGGACCATCTGAACCTCTTCCGCTCTCAGAAGTGGAACCTCAGGTCCATACAAGCTCTAGTGCAGACCTTGGGCTTCTGGCTCTCATGGCTAAGAGCTCGAAAGAGTTGGACGCTAACCCAACGACTTTGGAGGATAACCGCTTTAAGATGCAGCCTGCTCTGAGTGGTTTTAATGTCTCTGAAGGGGAAAACCTGTCTAAATGCCCAGGGCAGATAGAGACGTTGGCAGTAGATCTGGAGCCAGGGGTTTCTGGGGTAAAGAGCACTGCAGATGTTACCAGCACCACATCAGACACAGAGAAATCAGATGATGGCAAAGATAAAGAGGTTAAGAAGATTCAGACTACTGCTACTACACAGGTAACTATAGGTGTCAAGTCAAGTCAAGTCTGCTTTATTGTCAATTCTTCCGTGATGGTGTGGGCCTCCGGAGCAGACCGAGATCCCGCAGCTCTTCGGCGTGCGCAGAGTTTAACTCTAAAAATGTGGTTCTGCCGACATCGAGCAGAAACTCACGACTGTATGCGCGCTTAGAGACAGATAGACGCGACGAATACGTACAAAAACACTGCGATTCACAAGACAAAAAACACGAAAACACCTTTCTGTCGGGAGAGAGAGAAGCCGCAGCGTGTGAATGCGCCACCATCTTGAGGTAAGAAGATTACAGCCTGTTGACAGTCTGTACTAGTCTGGATCACTCAGTACGATTTATTTTGTTTTTTAAAGAAATTAATACATCTACTCAGCAAGGATGCATCAAATTGAACACAGTAAAAACATGTTACAAAAGTTTGACGTGATAATAAATTCTGTATCAGTTTTTACACAAAAATTAAGCAGCACAACTGTTTTTAACATTGATAATAAGAATTTTTCTTGTGCAACAAATCAGCATATTAGAATGGTTTCTGAAGGATCATGTGATGAGACTGGAGTAATGGCTGCTGAAAATTCAGCTTTGCCATCACAGGAATAAATTACAATTTAAAATATATTAAAATAGAAAACAGTTATTTTAAATTGTAATAATATTTCACAATATTCCACAATATTTTTATACTGTTTTTGCTTTATCAATTAAATACATCCTTCGTTAGCATAAGAGACTCCTTGTCACATTTATTTTATTTTATTTTATTTTAGATGAAAAATTCTAAATTCTATTTTATTACAAAATATCTATGTTTAATATGTTCATAGGTTTAATATTAATATGCAACTTATTTATCCTGTTTGATTGTTTATTTAAATGTTTAATTTGATTATTTACCTTTTTTATTGATTTATTTATTTTTTACTTTATTAAACATTCCACCAAAAAAGTTAGTTCTTTTAACACATTGACCCAGTAGTGGGCATTTTGTTACAGGCTTTTCAGCAAGATTTAAACAGTAAAACAATTATGAAATGGGGGGAGGGGGATTAAAAGGTTAACATTAAAAATATTAAACCATTGTTTCAGCCAACTGAAATTGTAATTAGTAAATTGACCTTACCTTTATGAAAATGCCCTGAGAACACAGTTCAGCCTATCAGTTAAAATATCCTAATTGTATAGTTGACTCATCGAAATGTATGTCATTGTGGTTTTATTGTCACATTTTTACAAAATTATGATGATATTGTAATTTTATGTTGTTTTATGTCGTTTGAAGGACATAATTTAAAAAACATTCAAATTTAAGAAGGTTCATTCTTTGACATTTTTTATGCCTGTCAAACTTGTTTCTGAGGTGTTGTGTTATATATCGAGGACCCTAGAGGAAGATGCAGTCTGCAGCTTCGCAAAACCAGCTTGCCTCAAGAAATGTCATACCTTCAACTTACAGTTGACTTTTAAGAAGATATAGGTCTTTAAAGATGTTCCCAGCATGAAGGCTTGTTTGTAGGACTTTTGCAAGGATGAACACGATCTGCCCTCCACGCCATGAAAAAGAACTGCATAATTTACACAAACGCTTCTTTACTACACCTGTCAAAAACTATACATATTCTAAGGTGCCTTGTGTTTTAAATGCATCAGCTTTGGCTTTTAAAAACATTTGTTTGCTTTCAGAGTTTGCATGGCCGTTCTGGTAGTCATCTGGATAGAGATCAGCGAGTAGATCTGGGTTTCAGAGGCATGCCGATGACAGAAGAGCAGTGTCGACAGTTCAGTCCTGGTCCCCGCACCACCATGTTCCGTATCCCAGAGTTCAAGTGGTCCCCAGTGCACCAGCGCTTACTTACAGATCTGCTCTTTGCTCTAGAAGCAGACGTACACATTTGGAGAAGGTCAGTGGCTACAGTTTACTCCGGTTGTGGAGTAGATGCCATATTTAATTTGATACAAACAAAAACACGGTCCTAGTGCAATCTAATTTTCAAAGACTGTGTTTTCTGGTGTTTTTTATACTGTAGAATTACGGACTGTAATTCTATCACTAGCGGGGTTTTTTTTTTTTTGTACATGTCAAAAAATGATGCTGTCTACTCTGATGGAGTCATAATTCTATAACAACAAAAATGTACTGTTATTGCAATATAAATCTTTTTCTCTTTTTCACCCTCCTCTTACTCTTGCCCCTCACAGTCATTCGACAAAATCCATCATGGACTTTGTCAACAGCAACGAGAACATAATCTTTGTACACAACACCATTCACCTGATCTCACAAATGGTGGATAACATCATCATCGCCTGTGGAGGAATCCTTCCCCTGCTGTCCGCTGCCACCTCGCCCTCTGTGAGTGTGCCAGAGATTTGACAATACTTCCATCCAGTGGTCGTCATAGATCACTGCAAGCCAAGCTCTTCAAATATAAACATTAAAAATAACAGAATGCCTCAGGGATAGTGCTGACTCATTATATCCACTTATTCTGTCTTCTTTACTATTGAGTGTGTTTTAACTACGTTTTTCTCTTGTACTTTATTTATTTATTTGTTTACGCAAAGAATACCAAGGTTAGTACCAATAGATTAGTATATTTGAAATGTTCTGTGGTTCATTGCCATTATCTCTGTCATGGATCTCATACAGTCTCATAGCCCCCCCTCCCCCTCTTTTTTAAATACTATAAAAACATGGATATATTGACTATTAAAAGCTCCGTTCACAGGATCTACATTCTATTTAGTGGTTTTCATTCCGAATTTGCTTAATATGTCTTGTGATTTTAGTCTAACCTCAATTGAAAGGTTGAGGTTTCTTTCTTTTTTATTTTTTTGAATTGCTAATTTTTGTTTTTAATGCATTTACACATTTGAAATCAATGCTAGTTCTCAGACTTTTCAATTTTTTTGTATTTTCCACATAGCGTTCAGACGTTTGGGGTCAGTAAGATTTTTAAAAAAAGAAATTAATGTTTTATAAAGTATTGTTTTGATCAGTAAATACATTTATATCTGTAATGTTAAAAAATATTTCTATTTAAAATAAATGATGCTCTTTTTCATTTTCTATTCTTTTTTCTATTTTATTCTATTTCCACCCTGAAACAAAGCTATCATTGCCTACACAAAAATATAAAGCAAAATATTTTCAACATTAATAATAAGAAGAAATGTTTCTTGAGCATCTGATTTCTGAAGGATCATGTGACACTGAGGACTGGAGTAATGATTCAACTTTGCTATTACAGGATTTATATTAGATTAAATTATTAATTAGATTATTAGATTAAACCATTTTAAATGGTAAAAATATGTCACAATACTACAGTTATTACTGTATTTTTAATTAAATAAATGCAGCCTTGGTGAGCATGAGACTTCTTTCAAAACATAAAAAAAATCTTACCAACCCCAAACTTTTGAGTGGTAGTGTAGCTTGGTCACGGAGGTGTTTGAACTAATTTTTCTTGGATTAAACCTTTCAGTGCTCCACATCTAAAAAAAAAAATGCCTACCACTGCCAATCCTGCATCCTAGAAAGCATCTGCCAAAGCTTTGCATGACCCATCTCATCCTGTTTCAGGATGTGCTGTATTGTGTCACATTTTACCGGCTACACCTCATTCTCAGCCTGAATGTTCCACTTTTGTGCTGAAGATAATGACTGATCATTGTTATAACAAAATGTGCTAACTAGGGCTGCACGATAAATCGAAATAAAATAGAGATCGCGATTCGACAGAAGCTGCGATTGTCATGCGTATCTTTCAATGAAGCACGGTTCTGTGATCAGCAGTAAATCTCCATCCAAAGGCCAGAGGGTGCTCTCGCGCTGAAACTCCAGAATTAAGAAACTCAGAAAATGCCTATCGCTGCAGCTGAGAACTACGGCTATGTGTAGTAAATGCTGCTCCATCTGAAAGCACGTGATGATGATTTCTTGCTGATTACAGAACCGGCTTTTTTAACAAAATGCGCATGACAATGGCATTCGATTAATCGTGCAGCCCTAGTGCTAACAGACTTTGATATCGGACTGTACCCTTTGTGCTCTTGATTATTGTGTGTGTCTGTGTCAGACTGAAATGGAAGGCATCGAGGCGACGCAGGGCATGTCGTCTGAGACGGCCGTGATCTTTCTGACCCGGCTGATGTCCATGGTCGATGTGCTGGTCTTTGCGAGTTCACTCAACTTCAGTGAGATTGAAGCTGAGAAAAACATGTCCTCAGGTGGACTGATGCGACAGTGCCTCAGACTAGGTATGTGTATATGTGTGTCAAGACACATTTTAAAGAAGAAAACACCTAAAGCCATTTAGCATACATTTCCTTTATACTGAACATCTTTAGACTCTTCCAACCAACTTTCTGACTTTATTCTTCAGTCAATTTATCAGTTAAAATTTTTTTTTTTTTTTTAAGTATTTTAATCTTGTATATGTATACTCTTGTATATTAAAATGGTCAGTATATTTTTGGTCAGTATCACAAATTTGCTTTTATGATTAAAGACTTAGAAATCCTAAATGTTATTGCAGAATTTAAATTATTAATTTTGTCATATTTTCCTTATTTTTTCCTTTAGTATAGATTTTTCATTATATTATATTATATTATATTATATATATTTTAATCATGTATACTATAAACAAAGGAAGAATATTTTTGTTCACATAGTCAATATCACAAATTTGCTTTTAAGATTAAAGACCTTGAAATCTTTAATCTTAAAAGCAAATTTTGCAGAATTTGAATTATTTTATCATAATGTTTCTTTGCTCGTTTTCCCTTTAGAACTTACTATTTTATTTATTTATTTTTTGCTAGGACACATTTTAAAGACCATAACAGGAAAAAAACCCTCAAGACGTTCAGCATAAATTTCCTATGACACACTTCCAAAAATTTTTTTTTTTTTCCTCAGTCAATTTATCGGTTTTAGTGCTGTACAATAAAAAAAATAGAGAGACAGGTTTAAAAACACATGTAAGCAATAAGGTACAAGCAGGATTGCTGCTTTAATTCAAGGGGCCCATATATTGGAACACTATATTAATCAACCAGCACCTAGAATCAAAACTATTCAGTTTTTATAGTTTATTTTATTTAATTTTTTTTAATTGTCTCTTTGTCGATATTTCTTCATTTATATTTTGTGCTCTTTCTTTCTCTCTGTCTCAGTATGTTGCGTAGCTGTGAGGAACTGTTTAGAGTGTCGTCAGCGTCAGAGGGACAGAATTCTGAAGTCCACCCTGTCCTTCAGTAAGTCTCGGGAGGGCCTGCAAGGCGTGTCCATGGCCAGCAAGGTACCCACTTTATACTGCATAATGTTATACTGCATCCAAGCACTGTACAGTTTCTGTAATCTCACTATGCAGTTAGGGTAGCGTTCTTGTTGCAAGTGTTTTATACATAAGTAAGTTGATATCTATAATTTATATAATTTAAATAACCTGAAAAATACTTGAAATGTATATAGTTTATGAAACAATTACTTAAGTCATTGTTTTAAGATTTTTTTTTTTTATAAATGCATAATGAAATTTAACTAATCTACTCTGTGTTCAATCCATCTTTCTTAAAGACTGAAAGTACAGTATGTTGTGTCTTGCCACATTCGTTTTTTTCCACACAATATAATATTGTCACGTTATGTGTGATTTGCGCTGTGGGTATGGTGTGAATTTGTAATTGAGATCTGCAGTGTGAGAACTGTTAAATTAAATGAAAGTGTTAAATGTCTGTTTGAAATGTCTGCTTTTCTTGCCTTAGACCACCATAGAAAATTTTCCAAGTAATGTTTCTCCAATTAAGGACCCGGACCGACTTCTGCAAGACGTGGACATCAACCGCCTGCGAGCTGCTGTCTTTCGTGATGTTGTGAGTTAATGTCAAATCGTCCTCAAATGCCCTTTGAAAGAAGTGTACACACTGTAGACGATGTAAACATGTAGACATACACACAAATCATACACACAGAATCTTTTGGTTCATATGGTCAATATATCACAAATTTGCTTTTATGATTGAAGTAGAAATCCCAAATGTTGAAGTAAAATTTACATGATTTATTTTGTTACTTCGCTCGTTTTTTTTTTTTAGAACTTCTATTTTATAGTACTTATATGCTTATATAAGTAATATATTATATATAAGTAATAATTAAATTATTTAAAGTTATTTATTTCAATATTTTATATATTTTTTCAGGTTAATATTAGATTTTTAATTACAGATTGTTTTTGTTCATTTATTTTTCTATCACCATTTCAGAAATGTCACTCTGTAACTCTGCACTAACAAAACAGAATCAGTTCAGAGTAGCATTTCTGCTTTGCGTGACATGTTTTAGTCGCATGTTGACTCTTCTTCATACCATTAGCTTAACCCTCTCCATTGCGAGTAAATCACTCGCAAATGCGACTAAATCTTACTCTGGGCGACTAAATAATGTCTAACATTAGCCATTGGCTAATAAATTCTTAGATTTTACTCGCCAGTATGTGTGTGAGAGGCGTTACCAAGTTTTAGTTCTAATCACTAGTTCTATCATTAAATAGTGCTTAATTATCATAATATAATGCTTGATTGGCTGAAGTTAAGAGTGCACATTCAGTTATTTAAGAAGCTGTTCCATTTTACAAAGATAAGCTGATTGGGTGGAATCATGTGTGTGTGTGTGTGTGTGTGTGTGTGTGTGTACCTACTTTGCTCACTTTTGGGTACAAATTTGTCCCCAAAATATGGTTAAGCCTGACAAAATTGACAAAAAACTCAATTTGTGGATGTTCTCATTTGTAAAACTGTTAAAATAAAGTAAACAAAGTTTTTTTTTTTTTACTTTTGAAATTGTAAAAATGCAGAAAGTTTTCTGTGAGGGGTAGGGTTAGGGTTGGGTTTAGGTTAAAAAGTGTATAACTATCTGTATATAAAAACAATCGAAGTCTATGTAATGTCCCAATTTAGATAGCTAAGTAAACGTGTGTGTGTGTGTGTGTGTGTGTGTGTGTAAAATAGTATATCAGTCTGGCGAGTAAACAAAAAAATGTACTAGCCAATGGCGATTATATTGCCAAGGTGTGCGTAGAGGGTTGTTAGCTGCTATTGTGTTGCGCTCCACAGGATGACAGTAAGCAGGCCCAGTTCCTGGCTCTCGCTGTTGTCTATTTTATCTCGGTGCTGATGGTGTCTAAGTACCGGGACATCTTGGAACCCGAGGCGGAGATGGTCAGGTCTATCAGCCAATCAGGAAGAGGCATTCGGCAGGAGATATATTCCCCCACCAGCACAGGTGTTGTAGTGGCTAATGTTTTATTTGTTGGCATAGCTTAATGCACTTATTGATATATATTTACAATAAGCAAAAAACTTGCTTTGCATTGCTTATTTGCATTACAAATGTCTTCTAATACCATTAGCCATGTAGTTTGTTTGTGTGTGCGTTTACAAAATATATTGGAAAAAAATGTAGGTCTCCACAGAGTCTGTCTCAAGCTGGTGTCAAACACATTTCTCTTCACCACCTCCCACATCTATTATTCATAACCTTCACTAATTATCTCACATAAAATTAAACATGCAGCCCTTACAGAATTCTTGAAGGGTATCACTGCTGGCTTTGTCTGTAAAACAGTCACAAAATTGGATTAATGTCCAGTAGTTTGAAGGATGCATCAAAGAGCTATTGGAAATGTAAGATGTGTTCATTTCTGACTGGGTTTTGTTGGGAAAGTATAGTGAAAAGAATAGTGAGTGAGAAAGAGAAGAAAGAGGATCCATGAAGAAAGGGCATGCAGAGGCAGGGCAGCGCTGCTATTTCCAGCCCCATCTGTCAGTGCCCATTAGGAAAGCAATCCACCAGAGGAGAATGGGATCATATAGGCTGAGGCACTACGCTGTGTCGCCCTCATAAATTTCAGGGAAGAAAGGCTATGAATAGGAATTTTTCCAAACAGGATGTAGCAGGCCATTGTCTGCACTCAAATCAGCATTCAGGCGTACTTTAGAGCTGAATTGGGCCCCCGTTGACCTTGCTAAAGGCTCTTGATGAATATCACTGAAAAATGCCTAACATCTGGAGAACAACTGGATATAGACAAGCAAGAGTTTGGATATTGAGTGGTCTTGCCTGCAAGGGCTTGATTTTATTATATAGGATGAAAGTGGATGCATGTTGAAGAGTCTTGACAGCAAGTATTTTTGAAGGACAGAAATGCTGTCATTGTGCTCAGACAGTATGTAAATCAAATATTTGGATCAGAGATAAAAAAATTTTTTAAAGCAAAATTAAAAAAAAGCATTTCTATTGACATTCACACACACACACACACACTAGATAGATAGATAGATAGATAGATAGATAGATTGATTGATTGATTTTATCTTTGATCTTTATGAAGTATTAAGTTGTCATCTGATGTGGTTCTGAGTGATACTGTAATGTCATAAATTTGATAAAATAATGATAAAAACCTATTAATTCTAGTGATCATTTTCTAATAATCTCTGATTTTTATTATATTTTATTAATTTTCTACACTGCGCTATATAATCCTCAGAGCACCCATCAGCCCTCTCTGACAGTCGCAGGGATGCTGTTAGTGTGCTGGAGGAGTTCCGTCAGAAGTCATCCCTCCCTCACTCTGACTCAGGACTGGGTGACGAGCAGGTGTCCAGTGTGATGAACGGGGCCGACCTGGACCTCGCCATGGGTGGTCCGAACGGCATGAGTGGCCTGTTTTGCACACTGTCATCAGAGGCCAGGTCACAGGAGAGCCTGACTGAGCCATCGATTGTGGATCACCTCAAACCCGCCTCCATCTCCAGCATCAGCCAGTCCAACAAAGGCATCAATGTCAAGGAAATCCTGAAGAGCCTGGTAGCAGCTCCTGTGGAGACCACAGAGAGCGGGCCAGACACCCTGCCCTACCCTGACCACCAAGCCATGAAGAGGGAAGCCCAAGCTATGTTACCCATGCAGTTCCATTCCTTTGACAGGTACCATCTTCTCATTGTCACAATGCAAACATTTTGAGGAGTCTTTGACAACATTTTAAATGAATGGTGTAAATTTAGTACAAGTTTAATTGAAAGCATTTGTGGCATAATGTTGATAATAAAATTAAGTTCTACTTGTCTCTCCTTTAAATAAAGCAAAGATCTAGATGACAGTGTAGAGCTTACAATATAAGTGAATGGGGGCCAATTCATAAACCTTAACATGCTCACTGTTTCAATTGTATAACCACACGACATAAACAATATGCATATTAACTTGATTTCAGTGTAAAAAGAAAAATAATCCTTCATTAATCTTTTCTGTGTAAGGTTATATCCAACTTTTTTGCTGACAAATAAAATGCCTGTTAATTGAAGTGCTTTTTATACAATTACTAACTTACTAACTTTTTTCTTTTTTTTTTAAGAAGAAAACTTTACATTTTGTGATAGTAAACACATGTTTTGTGTTGAACCAGGAATAATCCTTTAAAGGTCCACCCAAAATTGAAAATTCTGTCATCATTTACTTACCGTCACGTTGTTTGAAACCTGTGTGACTTTTTTTCTTCTGAAAACCACAAAATAAGATGTTTTGAAGAATGTTGGTAACCAAACGGTTCCTGTTCCCATTGACTTTCATTGTATGGACAAAAATATACAATGAAGGTCAGTGGAAACCTGAAGTGTTTAATTACCATCATTCTTCAAAATATCTTCTTTTGTGTACCGCTGAAGAACTGAAGTCATTCCGATTTGAAATGACATGAGGGTGAGTGAGTAAATGACAGAATTTTGCTGTAACTGTGATGAAGTGTAATGATATTAACCTCCACCAGGTGGCAGCAGTATACATCAGCATGGGAGCCAAATGTGAAATCATGTGGCTTTACCATGATTGAATGTTTTTTTTTTGTCACCAATAGCACTACAGTAGCCCATTTACTGCAGATGTATATGTACAAGGCCCTTAAAAGTACAGTGACCTTTTCTGTGTGCCTGCGATCCCTTCCGTGCCTTTAAACACTACACAATACATTACAGTCAAACCATGATGAATTCTTGGATTAGTCTTTTCCCTGAGGAATGGCCATAATGATTTTCTTGGTCATAAGCAAGCCATAACTCACTTTAAATTCCCCATACTTTCTATCACGAAGAATTACTGTGTTTGAAAATGTCTCAGAGATGTGCTTGAGCATTTTGTGACGTGTTTACATTCCAAGGCCAGATCAAATCTCAGCGTGATTTGTCTCTGCTCTTAACACATGTCTTCAGTTTTGCTGCAAAGCTGTTGCTGTTCATGGCTGGCCAAAATCAACATATGTAAACAGAAATTGTGTAAATGGAAAAGATGATATATATATTTTTTTGATAATAACTTGTTCACTTTGGCTAAAAATTATCTCCAGCTGGATGGGAGGAGGGTTTCACTGCCTTAAACACTTAATAAATCTGTCTTGGATAGCATGCATGAAAATTTGTTCAGACTGGTCTGTATTTTTGAATATTGAATATACACTGAAATAAACAGTGTATATACACAGTATATATATATATATATATATATATATATATATATTTTATTGAGAAATCACAGAACAGTGTTGACAATACATTTCCGCGCTGAATGATTCTGTGTGCGCGCGATCTGCGCGTGATGTACGACCTACTGTCTGTAATGTGTGTGCACGTTATAGTGCAGCAGTGCATTATATTAGAACGGCGATTAACTTACCTGTAGCCCAAGTACTGTTCCAATTCAAAGTTCACATCTAGCTAAGGGACCCTTTTCACAAGACTGTGAAGATGCATTTAACGGTCATCAGCATCGTAAATCCTCAAAAGTTTTTCATATTTGCTAAAAAATATGTATATTTATAACACTATTCTTTGTATTATATCACCTTTGCATCAAAAAAAACAAAACAGTTAACGCTAATGTGAGGGTGTTTCTAATGCAGCGTATGGGAATGCAAAAAATATATTTGTGGTACTCTTCCATTCACTGCTCTTCAAGTTAACCCAACTATGACAACTTCTGCTGCTGTGAAACCCGGAAATGTGAAAAAGGTCCATAGGACCAGTGACTAGTCAACGTCAAGCTTAAAGCCTCATGGCAGAGCATTGAAGTCGATTTGTCGGTGCAACCCCTAATATATATATATATATATATGTAATAGGCACATAAATGTATGTTCTACACATGTATGTAGAATTTATAGAATTATACATTTTTATACAATTATTATAGAATTTTTTCATGTATAGAATTTATATAAAATTACATTTATACAATACAATTATACATGCATATATATTTTTGCCGCAAATGTCCCAAAAATCAATAAAACTATTAATTTCATGAATTCAATATTCTGTCAACCTAAAATAATTTGTAACCATTTTTACATCTTGAGTTGTTCATACATAAAATGCTTTTGTTTTAGATGCTGTCAATATGCTAATAATTTTAAGTTTAATACTATAAGTGTCTATACAAGCATGCAAAAATCTGTTGTAGAACCACAATTTACATACATATTTTTGTTGCCAGTATTTTTTGTATTATCAACAAATTACGTGTCAGTAAACATGTTTGACAATGGTTGGTAGTTTTATTTATTATTTATTTATTTTTATGTCAGCTAGATATCTAAGCGGGCAGATTATTTATTTATTTTTTGCCAGATTAAGTTACAATGTGTGCCTGACTTTATGCCAGTGCACAAAAGATGATATTTTGAAGAATATTGATAACCAAAAGATTGACGGTAGCCATTGACTTCCATAGTAGTCAACGTCAACTGTTTGGTTATCAACATTCTTCAAAATATCCTCTTTTGTGTTCAGCAGAAGAAAGAAACTCATACAGGTTTGGAACAAGTGGAGGGTGAGTAAATAATTTTCCTTATTCATTTTCTTTTTTGGTTGAATTATCCTTTTAAAACTATGGCTCGTGTGAGACTAGGCCCAAATAATGTGCCTCTCCCTGCTTAGATATTGAGTCACAGGAACAATGGATCTGTAGTAATGTGTGCAACCACCACAGATGAGGTGTGCCTGCTGACTAGTAAAGGTGGTGTGTGTGTAGATGAGTTTGTGAGTGTTAGGGAGGGTCTCCAGGGCATTGATGACAGATTAAACAGAAGCGCCCCACCGTGCCCCTAGCTCCCCTCCTGTCGTCCTCACCCCTCAGCACCCTAATAGAGGCTGGCATGCAGAAATGAGTTGCCATGGCAGTGTATTATTTTTGAAATGCTTTCACACAGGCAGTCCGCATACGCCGGGTCGTACCACTCACTCCCGCATGCTTTAATGTCATCTGCCGGCCTTGAAATTGCTGTGTCTAATTGTTTGCCACCTGCCACCAAATGAGCTGCCAGACGTGGACAGGCTTCTTGGATTGTCTGTCAGAAGCTCAATAGATAGGGAGTGACAAAAAAAAAAAAATGCCTCAAACACAGGAGAGATCAGGACGACTAGCACATCACAGTCTTTCTGGGACTTTCCAAAGGTGAATTTTTTCAATTAGTATTGAATAACCAGGAAGCTGTGTTTGCAGATGGGGCCGCCACCATGAAGGACTTGCTTTAGTCAATTTAAATCAAGGAGAAACACTTTAATACATTAACATCAGTCCGTATCAATGCTAATGGATGGTATGCTAATAAACGGAGTGATACAAAATAAGTTTGCCATTATATGAGACCAACACATATAGTTATTGTTAATGTTCATTTATGCACTGAGACTGTTTGTAATCCTAATAGCCATTTCAAATAAAACATATAAACTATTTGCATCATTCATAGTCTACCCGAGATTAATCTGTGCTTTATTCAAAGTAAGTCAATTTTAAAAATCCTATTAATAAAATATGCACAGGATAATTCATACATCATTCACAAGCTCCCAGCCAATGAATAATTAATGAGTGTTGATTAGAAGCTTGTTTATCAGTCTAATACGATCAGCTCTACCTGTCAAATACCTGCAAGAAGCCAACATGTTATGAGTAATAATACTGTAGAAAAGCATTGCTTTGCGGACCTTAATGCTCAAAACGGTTGCAAACTGAGGTTCAAAGTCATAATTCTGTGTTGACTTTACAGTAGTATTAGAATGTCCATGTTACACATATTACTGATATGTTTAATTTATATTAACTCAATTAATAATAATTTTAGTAGTAATTATTAATATAAAGTGCTTTTGAATGTTGTTTCTTTCTTTCTTTCTTTCAAAATAAATGCATCTTGGGTGAGCATAAGAGACTTATTAAAAAATACTTTAAAACGTCTTACAGACCCCAGACTTTTAAACAGTAATGTATGTATTTGCATCTACAAGGATAATTCCTCATAACTCATTAAGACAATGGTACACATGTATGATTTTAAGGGTCTGTTATTCTCTGTTTGTAGTGCTCAAGGGGAAGCATGTGTCACAGAATGTTTTTCAGAAACTCTCTGTGTCACGCCAACATGTTAAAGAGAGCGTGCCGTCGAGACGAGTGGCAGTATCCCAGACAAGTGCTCTAATGGCTCCGTCCTCTCTCTGTACAGTGTCTGTTCCGAGGTCACATTATGCGGCATCAGGAGGCTTAGCAGGTGACATTAGAACCACCGAAAACATGCAGATCTCTGTATCGGCCAGCATCTTGAACCACGTCAAGTCGTGATAAAGAAACCAGACCGATATACACACCAACAAAATATCATTCCATCTTCCAAAGCACTTGACTCTGTCATGTTTATAATATCAAACTAATCCTCTCCTGCTCTTTGCTATCCGGCTAAGGTGTCTTCTGTGAAGACATACAGGAGATTATCGGCGAGGTCAAGAGTTTAATGCAAACTCGTGATCCTGCTCGTCTCCAGCACTATTTTCATCTCGTTAGACTATTGCCTCTGGAAACCATGTGATTTCCTTTTACATCTATAAATAAGCTGGAAAAAAGGCTAAATATAATTTCTTGAAGGCATAATTACGTTGATTAGTATATTTAGGCCCTTTTTAATGGTTTAATTTGTTTAGTAGCTATATTTAGAGACTGTTTCTTTAATTAGCTTTCCAGAGATTGCAGCTGGCCAGTGTTGAGAAGGTCAAAAAGGATGACAAGATGATTACCGGTATTGTGATTTTCTTCAACTTTTATTTTAAAATGAATATATTTATGTGTTTAAGTATAAGGATGTTCCAAACTTTCAGACATATGATCTCGCCTTGTTCAAACACTTAAATTAATTTTACCACGATTAGAAAGGTGAGAAAAACAGAACCGGATGGAAAACAGCCAAGAAGAATTTGCTTAGATGAGGGTGTCACCTTTTGATGTTTTATGTTTTCTGATATTTTTGCTTATTGATATTTTCAATTTTCATCCATCTTTTTTTGTTTTGTTTTTTTCTCCCTATCTTTATTTGTTCCTACACTTTTATCCTATATTTAATTACTTTTCCCCCCTTTTTTAAAATGTTATCTAATGGAAAAGAATGTTTTGAAGTGATACAAGCCAACTAATACCTCAAAACGTCCTGGAAACTTACTGGAAAGTAAAGTAATTGAGAAACTCGCTTTTGAAAGTATATATGGATATAACAAAAAGAAAAAGTTTGGAAAAAACTTAACTGATGACCAGATAGATAGATACCATATAACATTTTTTAAATTTAATATTTTTTATAATTTAAGAATATTTAATATTAATATTTAATCCAATATAGTGAGTTATAATGGGGCAATGAAAATGCACTGTATTGTAGGAATAACCCATAAGGTTTTCTAAGGTGAGAACCTCAAAACTGCACCGCTATAGCAACAGCAAATTTCTGCAACACACCTGGAAAGTATCTTCTGATGAATTTCGCTCCGAGTTTGACATTATGTCAAGTCACAGCAGTAGACAAACAGCAGAAAAGAGAAACGTACCCAAAACCCAGCAGTCACTGCTTTTGATTTTACTGTTTGTTTGTCCTGAGCTCTCATTCTGTACAGTCGCAAGGCAAGCACGGGCCGGCAGGAGAGCAGGATGTTTACTTTGCCTGCAGGTCTTTCCCTTGCCACTGCAACCATTCAATCTATCCACTTTCATCCAGCCTGACTGGACTGTGGAAAACAGCCATCAATCTCCCTCCAGCTTAATCAACTGATTTCACAAGCAATCGTGTATTTATTGTTGCAGGTGAAATGTTTTTATTTTGCTTTGTTAGATGTGTTTCTTTTCGCTTATGCAGAATCTGGAAGCTTTTGCGGGTCACTTGCCAGCCCTTCTGGGAAGTGCTTGGTACAAATCCTAGCTGACTGCTTAGGTGTTTACACATCCGCCGATCCCAGTACATTGTTGTGGCCTGGTTACAAGAACAGTTTGCCAGCCGCATCAAATCCAAGGTACACTTAGTAAAAGATTATGTATAATTTATTTTCCTCCCTCTCGCAGGAGTGTGGTGGTACAGGCCAAGAAGCCTCTGTTGGTGAATACAGTGGGCAGTTCAGGCTCCAGCAGCACCCTGACTTCTGCTAGCACCCCGAACATCTTCGCTGCTGCTTCGTCCGCTACGCCTAAGAGTATGATCAACACTACAGGTAAGCATTGCTCTGATTTGTGTCTCGGTACAACCTTACCTAACCTCTTCTGGAATGTTGTTAATTATGGTAACTTTGTAAGGACAGACATTATCCTTAAAAGTAGATATAATGGTCACAACTGCTCTCTGTGTCGTTAATGAGACGCTAATTTGAACGTGCAAGTGTTTAAGTGAATTTCCAGTGAAATGCACGCTCTGCTCTGCTATTCCTAGAATAATTCAAGATGTCATTCCTAAAATAATTCAAACTCAGGAAATTAGATTTGGTGGCATCGGGCGGTTTGTCCACTAGAGGGCTCCCCTCACTATGTATTGCTTTCTCACACTATAGAAAAAAAAGACATGAAGATCAGAATCAGAATCAGAATCAGAAGAGCTTTATTACCAAGTATTGAGGAGAAGAAGTTCATCCGTTTTGTTAGGAAGGGAACAGACATTCGCGAGATGAATGCTTGGGAGCGCAGTCCGAAAGCCGCGCGCGCAGATAGGATCTATATGAAATTTCAAGGTGGTTATGCAGCCACATGGACACTATAAGGAAGTTCCTTTTCAAGCGTCCCCCTCAGGGTGCACACTGTGAACACTAGATTTTTCTATTGAGACTGGAGCTGTTAGATCTACCTTATTGAGTGTGAAATTGTATGTGTTTATTGCTCTAGGCAAGACATTCTGGCCTGAAAACATAATGTTTGATTCTGTGGGATTCATTGAAAATATCTGTAATAGTAATAATTTCCCCCATTTGTTTATTTAATTAATTTCAGTGTATTGGGAATTGAAAGCCAATTTTAGGTACCTCAGCTTTGAAGGACCAATTTAAGCAACCTGCTATAGCACTTTTTGTGATACTATGTTTTCCTTAAGAGAGGCTCTTTTTAGTCCCCATTGCCCATCATAAACCTTATTGAGATCTGCTTAGAATGCACAAGGTACACTGATTTGGATTAAGGTTGAATCAGGCCAAGCTTTCACTTCCAGCGAAATCCATCAGAATGTCCTTCTTGACGTTTCCCCTCATCTTGGTGTATTTGCTTATGGGTGGACACTCATCTCTGACACGGCGATTGATGGCTGCGTAATAGATTTCCCATCCTCAGATGTCCCGTGACAGCTTGTGGTTTCACAGGATGACAGTCCATTGCTGTGATGTATCTATCAGAAGCTCCCTGCTGCACAGGGTGCTGTTGTGGATACTGGCTTTGACAGAGAGAAATAAGAGGAACGTAAGATGGTGCTTCACGTTCTCAGAGGGAGGTGAGAGTAATAGGGATGATTCTCAAAGCTTGTGCCTCTATAGTTATGTTGTTACCTGATGAAAAACCAGAAAGAGTATTTGATTTTAGTGCAACTGAGGGTTTAGTTGACAGTTGGTGGGGATATAAAGTGAAAAAATGCACCATGAGTTATTTTCAGTGTCTAATAATAATATATTTATTTCTTTAGAAATACTTATTTAAAAAAATGTATTTATATTTTCCCCTAAAGTCAACTTTTACACCAAGTAAATTTTTCTAACCTTTGATTTCTCTCTTGTTGTCTCTCAGGAGCCACAGATGCGTCCACCTCCTCTTCCTCCAGCTTTGTGAATGGAGCCACCAGCAAGAATCTGCCTGCGGTTCAGACTGTGGCCCCCATGCCTGAGGACACCATGGAGAACATGAGGTGAATCAGAGTCCCAGGATGTGTGTTGAGGTCTAAGACAGACAGCGGGATAGAGATTCAGCTTGATGTTTATTATAAAATGGGATGGTTGGATGATTGGATGAGCTGCTTTTGAAGCCGTTGTGAAATATCACACCAGATGTCATTTTATGTGAATGAAAACAAGGCTGTGAGGATATATATATATATATAATTATTATTATTATTATTTTTTTTTTTTTTGGAAATTGATATATTGGATATTTAATTGTGCATGATAATTCCTCTATTTTTATATTTACACTAACAGTCAAAACAAAAGTTTGAAATAATTACGATTTTATTAAAATAATGTTTTATGCTCATTTATTTGATAAAAAATATTGTATGATGAAATATTATGACAGTTTAAAAGAACTGTTTCTGTTTTATTTTAAAACATAATTTATTCCTGTGATGGCGATGTCTTCAGTGTCACATGATCCTCCAGAAATCATTCTAATATTCTGATATTTTTGATCAAATAAATGCATCCTTGGTAAACATAAGAGACTTCAAAAACTTAAAAAATCTTAATTATATCAAAGTTTTGACTGGTAGTGTATACAACCTTTGCTGTCATCTAATGTAAAATCATCTTTAAAATACTAATAAATTAATAACACTTAAATATAATCTGTAGCTAAAATATCAATTTTTCATACTGTAAATTATAATGTTGCCTAAATTCACTTGTAGCTGCAAACATTTTATTTTATATTTATATAGACAAAGTAGTAAAAAACATGAAAATAATTGGTGTTGTATCCCTAATTAGTTAACCTAATTTTCATAATTTCCAAATCTTAACCCTTTTTTTGTTGTTGTTGTTGTTTTTTTTGTTGGAAACTTGAAAGGCATTTTTCATGTTTTGTTCGGGAAAAAAAAATTGACACAAAGGTATACAGATTTATTGTTAAATTATTAATAATAAATGTAATTATTTATTGAACATTAGTGTCTTATAACCACCATTTGGGGAAAAAAAAAACTGCACCGTTAAGCATGCAGTCAGATTTACAAAACTTGTCAATAAACATTTGAAATTGTTCTAGTGATGTTTAGTTTGGAATAATTATGTTTTTTTTTTTTTCAATGTTTTAAAGTTAAATACTATTACTATTTGAATATATTAAAATTTAATTTTCAGCTTCAGTACTGAAGTCTTAAATGTGACCCTGGACCACAAAACCAGTCTTAAGTCGCTGGGGTATATTTGTAGCAATAGGCAAAAATACATTGTATGGGTCAAAAATATTGATTTTTATTTTATGCCAAAAATCCTTAAGATATTAAGTAAAGATCATGTTCCATGAAGATAGTTTGTAAATTTGAAGATAGTTTGTAAATATATCAAAACTTAATTGTTGATTAGTAATATGCATTGCTAAGAACTTCACTTGGACAACTTTAAAGGCGATTTTCTCAATATTTAGATTTTTTTGCAACCTCAGATTCCAGATTTTCAAATAGTTGTATCTCGGCCAAATATTGTCCAATCCTAACAAACCATACATCAATGGAAAGCTTATTTATTCCGTTTTCGACATTTCTAAAAATGTACCCTTATGACTGGTTATGTGGTCCAGGGTCACAAATGTCACATGGTCCTTCAGAAATCAAGTGTATATGATTTCACACAATACCCTTTTAACATGGTACAATAACTGCAAAACGCACCCTTAAATGGCGTATTGCTTTATTTGAGTGTGTCTGTGAGTGGGAAGTACTTCCTCTGTCAGCACCTCATCAGATGAATTTGAGTTTGTTCACTCAGCCATGCTAGTCCTGAGTTTGTATTATCACTGCCACAAGAGGGGGTCAGAACTCAGGCTTGTTTTTTCATGTTTACAGACATTGTGCCTTTCCTTTGTTTAGGGCAATGGGCGAGAATCATTTTATTTTTTTATTGTTGTGGTTGCAACAAACAAGACAACCCCACACCTTACATATCGCCTGTCCTCTCTCTCACTGCCCACCATGGGTGTTTGAGCTGTCAGAGAGGGCTGTGCGAGCGCTAATGCAGAGAAATCAGTGCGCATAGGTGTTTTGGGGAGTGTGTGGAAACCGTGCTGACCTTGGCTTCATCCTTTCACCTCGTCTAATGCTTTGTGACAGACATCTCACAGACACGCCACCGTCTGACTACACAGGAGAAAGCGTGTGTGTGTGTGTGTGTGTGTGTGTGTGTGTGTGTGTG